TTACTGCATTAGTTTTATTAACACTACTTAAAATACATTTTTAACGATTTACTCTGAACCCCTGGCTTGAAATTTTCATTTTTCTTATTGAGAACAGTACATATATCTTGGAAGAAAATTTTTAGAATAAAGTATTTGTTAAAGATAAACGTGTGTTTGATATCAGTGTAAAATAAACCTTTAGGACTAAATGAAGAACACCTGACGATAAATGTTTAATCTGAAATAAGAAACATTTCATAGAATTAAAAATGATATTACTGTTTATATTTTACAAATACTTTCAATCTTGAATTCGATAAGCTCTACACAAAAAATATAATTATAGAATAATTGAAATCAATAATAGTTTAGCTATTAAAAAACACAATTACTGCTATAAAATGATGTCAGGTATACCCATTATTTAATTTTCAAGAAAATTAGGGATCTGATGATTAGTTCTGTGCTCTGAAATGCACAAGACTGTACATTCAGCTTGTTAGTGAACAATGTCAGAGGTGATTGTATTTATTTACAATATAAGACATTTCACTTGAATATGAATTATGATCGAACGAGTGAAGCTGGACACTGATATTGCATACTTAAAATTAGGTGTTAATAACGTCATGATGGAGCTTGGACCACTCCTTTGGGATAGGTGATTCCGTAGAATTTCGTACTTAAAATTAGGTACTTATAGCGTCATGATGGAGCTTCGACCATTCCTTTGGGATAGGTGATTCCGTAGAATTTTGTACTTAGAATAAGATGTTTGTAACGTCATGACGGAGTTTGGACCACTCCTTTGGGATAGTTGAATCCGTAGAATTTCGAATCGGAAATTATTTGATGGAATGTGACGCCTCTTCCAAGATAATTTCATATAGGTCACTCCAATAAGTTAAATATCTCTTATTCATTAAGGATGGTTCGGACGAGCTTAGCACTGTGAGTGTGGAGGTTATTATCTGATACGTCGAATTCAGGGTTAATTGTATCAGTATATGGTATTACAACGGGCAATAGTATGTGACTTCTATTATATGTAGCATTAGTGGTACCATTGCACTAGATACAGAGTTTAGCACGTCTAAAATATGCGTTATGTTCCTGTATAAAAAGAGAGGTTACACCTGATTCCAAGTTCTCTCTGAATAAGTATACCCCTGTAATCTGGCTGCAGGATATAGCAGAACAAACCTGTAAAAAATATTACTTTACAAGTCATTGGTTCAATAGACGTTTTTGGAACCTTGGCAAGCGAAGTGTTTGGTATTTTGCTGTGAGTGAACGCGCCTCAATGTGTGTCTGACATAAGGTTAGCCTTGTGATGCCTGTTTCTAACCATATGTAAGTTGACTTGATGTGGCTATGAGTATCTGAATCAACATTGAAACAGATACCCTACTATTGCGATGAGTCAGAATAGATAGATAGCGGTCGTCTGCTACATTCGTAGATCATAGTATACCTTGTCCGGGCAATTCTACCATTGAATTTAAAACGGTTCTATAATCTGCTAATTACATGTTATCATACCTGTATCCATTTCACAATTATCTGCTATAATTGGCTGATTTTGCTAGACAGTTCTCTATACGAGTGAAACCTTCAAATATCTTTAAGATTTAACCACATTTTATAGAAATCTTGGAAAAATGTAAGCTTTTTGATTCGCTTAATCTGAGACAATACTATGTCAGAATACTGTATATGTATTATATAGAATACATGACAAATCATTTACGTTTCAAGTCACATGACTGATAATCAGATGCTGATATTCACAACAACGAAACCAAAAGAGGAGATTGATGTAATTTTATAATAGTGGTTTGTTTTTTTACAGTTATAAGATTACTTATTCAATTATTCATTAATTATCTTCGGAGGTATTATTTTATTTAAAAAACAGAGATTATAAAATGGTTTGAATTTGATAATCATGTCAATAATAACAAAAACAAAGAGTAAAGGAAATATAAGAAAGTAACGGATGTTTCTCTCTTTTATGCACAAAAAATACCGAAAAACAAGAGCAATCTATATGTTATATTCTAAAAGTCCATTTGTTCCGAAAGGCTTGCATAGAAAACAACACTAATGTAAAAACCAATGTGATCAAGTGTTCTATAATATTCTAAGGTAATATTTTCTGTTACATTTTATGGAATATGTATTTAATGTTGTATATTTTTAATCAATTTATTTTAAATTTCTTCTGTGATAAGATTATCATTCAGTGTTCTGTGTTTGTAAATTATTTGGTCATAATTAGGATAGTTAGAACCATTAACAATACTTCAGATTGAACATTTCTCTACTATTACTCTGAGACGTTATTTGCTATTTTGTTTGGTTTTCGGCTTTAAATCACTGTTATGTACAAGACTCGTTTTGTTGCCTTGACCACGAAAAACTTGGTTTAGTTTGATGACACCCTAGAGCTTTCGCACGTGTTTTAAACTAAATGACCACCGTGGATATCAAATCATAAATTTGCTACTATGATATTCCATTGTTTTGCACCTTAACTGTGGGTCATGTTTTTCCACTATGCTCAAATGTTTGAAGCGAAGGAATTATGTTCTCTGATGTTTAACTCCACGCCTAGCAACAGGAATCTGCTTATTATTAAGAAATGACCAGTTGACTGTAATGCCTGTTGAATCTTGAGCAGTCTTGTATATCTTATCGTTTGTTATGACTAAGGTTTCTAATCTCTATGCTATAAGAACACAGTTAGGACTCTATCTGTGGAGTGTTTTAATTCTAATCGCAACGTCTGGCTCGACGCTTACAACGCCACACAGGTGGTATGTTCTGGCTTTTATCACAAGCACGATACTAACCAAACACCTCATGACAGCCACCTTATCTTGTGTATTTATGTCTGTATATTCTAACTATAAGTTTGTTGCTGCAACCATAACAACGCCTTCTGCAGGCGTTTTTGAATTAAACCTTAAATGTAAAGAAAGAACAATAACATGCACCTATACACACGTACACTCATATATATATATATATATATATAACAAAGATTAATTTATATTCTGGCAACAGTTATGATTTTATAATTTATGAAGCGTCTTTCCCTTATAAAAAAGTAGGTAAGCTAAAAATATATGCAATACATCAGAGTAACATTCCACTGAAAAAATAATATGATATCCTAAATTAATCATTTGACCATATTAGATGTAGCAGAAAGTGCTTTTCGGACAATATCCAACAAGGTTTTCTGTCGGTGGGGCTGCACATGAACAGATTCGATTATGAATAGTCTTATTTCCAGCAAATAATTGATGCTGTTCTTTCAGAAACTAATTCTGAACGAAATAATATCAAAGTGTGTATCTGACAGTATTTACGAAGTTATTTTGATGTAGAGATACAATTTAAACTAATGTAGTAGGACCACTAACTGCCCCAAACACTATTCACCAGTAATTTGTTTGTTGTGTTTTTTAATTCTTAAGCTGCCTAAATTAATTTGTAAGTTTAAAATACTTCCCCAGAATTAGGATTTAAACAACTTTTATAACTTGAAATCTAACAGAGCATATAGCTAATTATGACACAGATTAAGGGTGTAAAATTTAAACAACTTTTATAACTTGAAATCTAACAGAGCATATAGCTAATTATGACACAGATTAAGGGTGTAAAATTTAAACAACTTTTATAACTTGAAATCTAACAGAGCATATAGCTAATTATGACACAGATTAAGAGTGTAAAATTTAAACAGCTTTTATAACTTGAAATATAACAGAGCATATAGCTAATTATGACACAGATTAAGAGTGTAAAATTTAAACAGCTTTTATAACTTGAAATATAACAGAGCATATAGCTAATTATGACACAGATTAAGAGTGTAAAATTTAAACAGCTTTTATAACTTGAAATATAACAGAGCATATAGCTAATTATGACACAGATTAAGGGTGTAAAATATTTTAACCGTCACAAGGAAAATGCGAATATATTTTTATCGCATTTACTTCTTTATAGCCCCCCAGTGGCACAGCTGTATGAAACCGGATTTCGATACCCGTGGTGGGCAGAGCACAGATAGCCCATTGTGTAGCTTTGTTGCTCAATTACAAACACACAAACTTCTTTATAGATGCGTAAACTTGGTGTTTCTTTATGTAGAATATATAATAAAAGGCTATTTAACATTATTGTGTTACAATCCTCTTTTTTTATGATATAATATGTTAATAGTAAACAAAACAAAACATTGGTAGATATTTGCCATGCAATAATCGTGTGATTTTGAGTTCTTGAGAACTTTTTTTCCAAAATCTATGTAAATGAGAATAAACTTTTCAAACTTAGTATCTTTATTTTTCGAGCCTTTCCTTTCTAATCAACTTACAATTATTAAATTAAAAAAATTGTGGAAATTACAATGAAAATAAAGCACTTATATTAATATTAGAACATGAAAATTAAACAGTTTAGGCTATTCCTACAGTTGTGATTGTAATTGACGACAATGTTTAGTGTTGGTAAAAAAATATAAACGCATAAAACCTGCTAACTGGAAACCATTTTTATTAAACCAGCTAACTAGAAACAATCTTTGTTGCATTATTTTACACATTAAACCAGGTAACCAGAAACTGTTTTTTAAGTATTTTTAGCAATAAATTTTTCATTAAAATGAATTTGTTGTTAGTTTTTCTTGCGATACTTTAGAAAACTGTTGGTTTTTGCCTCAAAATATTTTTTGCACACATTTAAATATTTAGAGCTCAATGTTACTCTATCATATTGTTATATGTTAATATTCATTCAAATTGTCACCTAGTCTAACAACCTAAAACATGTCATATTTTGAGGCCGTGTCTCGTGGTAGAGCACAGACGCTTTCACAAGTGGCTAACTTTCAGCCAATAGTGTGGAAGTAACAAAGAGCCAGCTGTTTCAACTTGCCCAATAAGCACTGGCTTCGGTGTGACTTTGGAGGCTTTGTACTCATAACGCATATAAACTAGACGAACGCTTCAACTTCTGTCAAAAATTTAAGCTGGATTCATAGAAGAATTAAGCTCATAAGATCTACTATTAAAACAAATTATACCCAGGTTGACATATACATCGTTCCTGTTATATCAGTTATATATTGCCAAAACTTGAATTTAAAAATTTGTGCTGTCAGTATGGACGAGCTAGGCCTATTATGTTCGGAAAATACACCGCTAGAACACTCGCCTCGTGCAACATATGATCCCAACCTGTTACATAACCAGAGAGTTTTAGAACTATTATTGACCACGGAAGACCGCTATACTGTTTCTTCTGCCTATTGGAAGTATGTCCAAACTGAGGTTCGACCCTTTATGAGAAAGGTAGTGACAACGTGGATGCTCGAGGTGAGACCATATTGTGTCTTTTTTCTTCTAATAATATATAAAAAATTGGATAATGTTATACAATTCTCTCGGATAAAATATAATACTTGGCGAAATAATTCAAGTCTTAAAATACTTTTCATTAAATTGACTACGATCAAGTCAGTTCAATCAACTACGCTCGAGTCAGCTGATGATGGGCAGTTAGTAATAGATATACATGCTACTCCACGACTGTTCATATCCATTAGGAAATGATGATGTCAGAACAAATAAGGGTAAAAGTTAGTTTATCAGAGAGATTTCATTGTGTTATTGAAAGTACATTTTAACCTGTTTGGTAAAACGGACTATAAGGGCGTATTTAAAGAAAATAAAGAAAAACATTTATTTGAATCGGACGACTTTTCGATCTTAATTGTAAGCCGTCTCTAATATAGACCTTATGACAATCATGATAAAGAAATTTGGAAACTTTTTCTTAGTTTGTTTGTTTATATTTTTAACAAAATGCCTGAATTTGACCAAAAACCAACTTATTTCCATTAAATATAATTTTCCTTCCCGGTAGACGACGATCGTAACTTCATAAGTTTGGACTAAGGATCAAAGTGGAAATTATAAGTTGTACTTCTTGTTTTTAGTGAAATCAAAAAGCCTGAAAATACAATTTATGAGTCATATCCGAATGAAAATGAATTGCAGTGTTCTGTCAATGTAACGTACATAACAGAAACAAATATGTTCACTACATGTACATGTATAGTCAAAACATTTAAAGTGTTCCAAACTGTTCTAAAATCAACTTTTAAACATATTTGTACAACATTTAAAGATCTGTATAATCTTGTCGAATGTTTTTGTTTCAATATTCAAACAGTCAAAGATATTTTGTATTGTCCTAAAATTCTATGAAGTGACACAGTTTATCATTCTCGAGTAGATATTTCAGGAATATTTTAGAATGTCGTATGACCTTAAGAGAAAACTAAATATGTAGGTACAAATTATCTACGAGTGATATTTATATACAACATGTACAAAAAAACCCCACAAATATACGTACTGTCACGAAAGCTGCTATTACGACACTTATTTCAAACAGTGATCTGTTATCGCTTTGTTATTCTATTCTTATCTTAATAAATCTGTATTATAGTCGATATATTTATAGGATAAATACATTTCTCAGAAGCAACTTATATATGAAATTTCTCATTTTTTATCCCTTCACTTTTAAAGATGGTTGTGTAGATGTTTTATATATATAGTGTTTCTGCCGTATATCTGGAAGACAGAATACTTTGAACTCGAACACGTATTTCTTTGAGCAAATCACAATTGATACAAACAGCTGCAGTGCTTAAACATTTATTGTCTCCCGTGGGACAGCGGTACGTTTATGGACTTATAACGCTAAAATCCGAGGTTCGATTACCCGCGATGGGCACAGCAAATAGCCCAATGTGGTTTTCTCTAAAACAACAAACAAATTGAATATTTATTAGTTTAGTTTACTGAGTTACCTTGAGGGTGTATAGTCAGAACGGTTGTAGGACCTTTTTTCAATCGTTTGTTACCAGTTGTCTTATTGACCCAGATTAACGTATTCTCTAGAACACAGAGAAATTGAAAGCTAACCCGTCACTGGTCAAAAATATCTAGTGTTGTTTATATTGGGAATATTTTGAAACAATGGTCTATATGATGGTGATAATAATACGTAACAATTTACAAATTACATAACGGAGAATATTTATATAATTTAATAGTAAATACTTGTAGAAATGAATGTGTAAATTATCATTCGGCGTCCCTACCTGTGTAGAAAAGTTGGCTTAGTAGTTTTTCGCGCCACAAACAAAAGCCAAGCTGTTACTTTAGGCCATGTGAAGTTTAACTGTGAACTGTTCAAAATTCATATTCATATGTAAAATAAAATAAAAGTTTGAACTTATTTTTATGACATACATACGTGAAATTTACGCATACTACATGCAGGCGAGCAACAGATACTGAACCATTCAGTGAGAAACAGCTGTGATATTCATCACTCTTCGTACTACATGCGCTGCAGACAGTTTTCCCAACCACCAAATGATTTTATCATCACGTGCATGGAATATTAAAACAGATGATAAGTTGGAAAACGCAATTTTTTAATGAGCTTACTAAATTTAGTACTTTATTAATGCCCGTCATTTATTTTTACACTAAACTTACTCTTTCAATATTTAAAACTGTATGTTGTGTATAACAATGATTGCAAGTGTAATAGGGTACTGTTTAAAGATTATCCTTCACGTATATGTCTTCCATAATCTGTTAGACATTGAATATGGAAAGTATGATGTTGGGTATTAACCATGACAGTGATTTAATAACAACCCTTTCAAGTCTTTATAATAAGTACTTAAATTAAAAGAAAAAAAATGTGTGCCGTATTTGTGTTCTACAGCGCTTTACTTGTAATAATTAGCTGTACTGATACAAATACTTGGTTTTAAATGAATTTTACATGTACAGTATGAAAGTATTGCATAGGGTTTAGTGTAAATACAAATTATGGAACGAGTGTGCTAGGCCTATGTGTGTCACACAAATGTATAGTAAAAGAATCATTACTTTTAGTGTGCTAGTTTTGCGTGTGTTACACAAAACATATATTCAAAATAATGTTTTTTTTATTAAAGTATTTTAATTACCTTATTATTGAAACCATACTGTAGTTTCTACTAGTTTTGTGTGTAAACGTAGATGAAACTTTATTTCTACAGACCACTTAGTAATTTTAGATATTCACATGAAGCGACACAAGGAATTTCTGCGCTAGCCATCCCTAGTTTTCAACTTAAAGACTACAAGGAAGGTAGCTGGTCAACAGCACCCACTGCCAACTATTGGGCTAATTTAATCGAATAGTTGGATTTGACCATCACTCTTATAACTCGCCTAAGTGCGGAACTCTACCCACTAGAACACGATCGGTCCATTAGTTTAGATAATTTTTGTAAAATTCATGTATCGCTGGCACATATTGTGGGAAGCCATTTCCGAGTTTCTAACAAATAGTGGGCCGGGCGTGGCCCAGTAGTTAGCGTGTCGTACCACTGGACACTCTCTCCACTTTCAGCTGTCGGCACGTTATAAAAGTCATCCCGTTTTTCGGTTTAAAAAACCATACGAAGTTCTTTTGGCGGTAGGCACTGACGGCTGGTTGCCATCCCTCTGATTAGTAGCTCAAAATTAGGGACAACTATACATGAGCCCTTGGGGTTTCTGTTTACTTAGCCCACTTGCGTGTAAGGTGCCGTTTAGATTGAAAAGTTCCATTTCTGTATTTAAAAAGTAACTGATACCTGTAGAACCCCAATTGAGAGTGTGTTTGGATAAAACAATAACCTTTTTTTCTCGTCATAAATTTGCTTTAGCCTAAATAACTCAACTGTATTTTAATGAAAACTCTTAGTTCATAATCAACTCTCTTTTAAACTAACTTTTCTTGTTTCGGGTGAAGTTAATGCCCAATATTAATATCTACTGTGTATCTATTTATACACCTTAACTAAACTTGCATAATAATGCACTTGGTTAAATTTCATAATCAAATATGGCAACGTTTTTTTTTGACTATCGAAGTTTTTAATTGTGCCTATATACCAACTTGATTGGTTACACCTTTTTAAGTGATATGAAAGACAAATATTCATAACCCACTTGCATCTCTAATTATTCTTTTATTTTTAGGTTCGGATGAAATTTATAAAAGTTCACGAGCACGTTGAGTGAATATATTTATAGTACACTCTTCGATGAAAGAATGAAAAGTCTGACAGATTCAATAACAATACCATTTCAGACCATACACAATAACAATATCATTTCAATATATAGTACTTCTGAAACTTTTATGTGTATGTTTTCGACCCTCACTAAACTTTTATGTGTATGTTTCCGACCCTCAGTAAACTGTATAGTAGAAATAAATTGCTCTTCAACAGTTTTAAGTGCATATTCTGTATTACCAATTTTTGAAAATGATAATAACAGAGCTTTTGTCAGTAGTTTTCAAATACCAGCTCTTAACTGAAACTGAAAATATTTTGAATTATTAAATATTTTCTGAATTCTTACAGTATTGTATACTAATGTTTTCAGGTCTGTGAAGAACAGAACTGCGAAGAGACCGTTTTCCCTGTTGCTGTTAACTACCTAGACAGGTTCCTAGCTAAGACAAGTATTATGAAGTCACAGTTGCAACTGTTAGGAGCAGTGTGCCTTTTGCTAGCATCCAAGTTCCGACAGTGTCGGCATCTAACGGCTGATGTATTAGTATATTATACAGATTACTCTGTTACAAGAGAAGAAGTTTTGGTATGTCTTTTTATGTTTATGTTAAGTTTTACTTTAGCTTGGCGAGAGAAAATCGTTAAAAATTTAGTACATATATATAGACTTAAAAAAAGCCTCTAAACTCGAGCGCTTTCGAATAGTTGACTATTCTTGTTCAGGAGAACAATATATAGTTATCATTCTGCGAGTAAAACACACACACACCAAACACTTAGAAAGTGGCATGTCAAACGCTTAAAGTTTTGACCTTATTTTTCTGACAGTAAATGTTTAATTTCTTTATGAATCTCTAAACTACTATAATCAGTATACATATTATTCAAGGTAAATAACCATAACGTGGCAACATAACACAGCATAACTGTCAAATGTCTGACTAGCACGCAAAATTTAGTTAAACCCTTAACGATAGCCACCATCTCTTTAAACTAATCTGGAACTCTACTGACCTCATTCTCAGTGAATTTCATGGCTGAAATAGTGGATCAACATGCATATCCAAAATTAACATTCGAAGTGATCTTCACTATAAACTAAATCAAAATAGCCTGCTTTCACAAGTTAGATTGTGAGGAACTGAAAACATCCTTATCTAAATTCCTATTCAAATCAAGCTCACTTTTTGAGATGACACAGTAGAGAGAACTATATATTTCACACCTCCATAACTAGTAAACAATACAACTTTACTCGGGGTATATTAAGGTCATTTTCTTATGTTCTTCGTGTAGGACATCCGCATGTAGTTAGTGATTCCCATGTAAACATGATGTAGATGGGCCATAAACTTGCATTAATCTTCTAGTTTAAGTAAAAGTTACAT